CTTGCTGCTGCTGCTGCTGCTGCTGCTGCTTGCTGCTGCTTGCTGCTGCTTGCTGCTGCTGCTGCTTGCTACTGCTGCTGCTTGCTGCTGCTGCTGCTGCTGTTGCTGCAGCTGACGAACATGAGTCTTGAAGACCTGGAGGACATGGCAGTAAAAGTCCTGTATGTCCGATTCGACCTCAGAGACTCTCAGCAGCAGCAGGAGGAGAAGCAGCAGCAGCAGGAGCAGCAGCAGGAGAAGCAGAAGGAGAAGCAGCAGCAGCAAAAGAAGAAACAGCTAACTTTCGAGTCGGCTGAATCGCTAGATTATATAGCGAAAGATGGCACAAAAATTACTGTACCCGCAACGCTCAGGTGAGCATTTTGCTGCTGCTGCTGCTGTTGCTGCTGCTGCTGCTGTTTCCGCTGTTGTTGTTGCTGCTACTGCTGCTGCTGCTGCTGTTAGCGTCTGGAAGGGAGGTCTCCTCTGGTCACCTGCTGCTCGTTGGCTGCCGCATTCTCTGTTATTTTGCTGCTCTACTAGCAGCCGCTGCTGCTGCTGTTTTGTATGCTGCTGCTGCTGCTTTTTACGCTGCTGTTGCTGCTGCTGCTGCAGGTGGCAGTGCACGGAGTTTCTATTTAGATCTGTTCCTCCTAGTGAGATGGCAGCAGACGTGGGAGAGAGCCTTGTCGAACTGGTCATTAGGTATGGATCTGCTGCTGCTGTTGCTGCTGCTGCTGCTGCTGCTGTGGAGAAGCAGCCCGGGTGTAGCCTTGATTGGCTACTGACAGCAAAGAGTTCCGCGCACACTTGTGTTGCTGCTTCTGCTGCTTCTGGCAGCGCTGAAGACCTTACCGCTGCAGCTGGTGCTGCAGCTGCTGCATCCGCTGCTGCCGCTGCTGCTGCTGCTGCTGCTGCTGCTGCTGCTGCTGGGTGTACGTACAGCTCGCTGCGCAGCTGCCCTTCTGAAGCTCGGCGTGTAGCTATTCAAAACATTTTGCTGTGCGGAGGCATGGCCTCTTTGAGGGGTTTCAGCACAAGGTTTTCCAAAGAGTTGTTGTCAGCTGCTGCTGCTGCTGCTGCTGCTGTTGCTGGTTAGGTTGCTGCTGCTGTTCCCGCTGGTGCTGCTGCGGGGTTGGCGGTCGCGCGGCTCTTCCAGCTGCTGCCTCTGTTGCTGCTGCAGCCACTGCAGGGCTGGGCTGGCTGCTGCTTCTATTAATTTTGCTGCTGCTGATGCTGTGCTGCTGCTCCTGCTGCTGCTCCTGCTGCTGCAGCACTGCGCTGCAGCAGGAGCCAGACTTGAAGCCTCTTGCTGCCACCGCATCTCTGGGGCTGCCTCCAAGTCCTCCAAGCATTCGCCAGTGGTGTGGGGGGTCGATGCATGCAACGCTGCACGGACTGCAGGTTTGCTGCTGCTGCTGCTGTTTCTGCTGCTGCTGCTGCTGAGGGAACAGGGAAGCACAGCCTTCATTGCAGGATTGAGGGTGTGCGGCAGCATTGCTCGGCGGCCCCGTTAGCTGTGCTGCCGCCTTTGCTGCTGCTGCTGCTGCTAATGCAGCTGCTGCTGCTGCTGTATCTGCTGCTGCTGCTGCTGCAGGTGTACACCCAGTCCGACTGGCTGGGCGGGGCGGCCCCGCCCGGG